TACTACCTATTTTCTAAGAACTATACATGGCATGATCAGAAATGTTAATTTTTAGCTAAGGTGAAGAAATGTAGCCAACGTCAAACTACATCTGGATAATATCATTAAATATCATTTAAGATGTGTGTGCTCTGAGCTTTATCTCTTTGCTATAGTTATAGATTTCACTGGCTAATTTCTAGAATTTAACGTAATCTTATCCCATCTTATTCAGAAGCCACATGAAATGACACCAAGGGACATATCTTTGAGAAGGGAAGCTCTGTATACTGATGTCATCTATTTCCTCCAAAATAATTCCAAAATAGTTCCTTCAAAACGTTGAGATTCCCAATATATTCCCATTTACTGAGCCACTGGGGGAAAATATTTAACACAGAATGCAATAAAAAGATGGAAGTGGATTCTGTCCCCCCAGGCCTTTCTACGTCTTTAAAAAAAAAAAAAATCTGTGTTCATCTTCTGCTGACAGAAATCCTGGGTTGGGAAATGGATGCAAGTTATATTTCATTCTCTATGTTTACATTTGCAGATTAAAAAAAAAACTGCTATGTGGAGATGAGGAAACCTGTGAGGCATTGAACTTGCTAACCGATACTTTAATAGCATTGACCAAAAAAAGTCTGGCTAATCCATGTTCTGCTATGTTGGTTGATAATTTTGAGGATTGAAGTCCAAAAAGTCCAAAAGTCATCAGTCTGGAGGACATTGGACTACAATCCTGAGCCATTCATGCTCTGAAATCTACTTGTGGTTGAAGTCTGCACATGGGCTCTTGTGGCATATTAATTAACTAGGGGTTTTATTTTTTTATTTTTATTTATATCTACCTTTATTAGTTTTACAAATAAGTCAAAGCAGCAAATGTTTCCAATACACCTTCCATCTCCTATATTTACCACAACAACAACTCTGAGAGGTGAGTTGGACTGAGAGTGAGTGATTGACCCAAAGACACCCAGCCGACTTTCATGGCTATGGTAGAATTTGAACACACAATCTCCCACTTTCTAGCCTGCTGTCTTAACCACTAGGCCAAGCTGGTTCTTTTTCTTAAGTTTTAAGTTAGGTTTTCCTTAAGTTTCTTTACCTGTTGAACAGGACACCTTAGAAATTAACATAGAATTAACCTCTTGTGTTTCTATTTAAAAAGTAAAGTATTCATGTGTCCTTGCACTTTCTATCAAAATGAAAATGTTACATATGTGGATGTGAGTACATACAGAGATGCCAGAAGTAACTTTCAAATGCTAGCATTGAAAGGGCATTGGATGATATATCTTGGCCCATCTCTTTGCTTTCAGTTCAACTCACAACAATCTCCTCTTTCATACAACATAACATAAAACAAGTCAACTAATTTCCTCTATCATCTGTAGGAGGGAGTGCCAAATAGCTTGTACTCTTAAGTGCACATCTGTTTGCCCGCTAAAATTACTTGACACAGGCATTCTCCAGACATAGATATCTGTGTTATGGAACTGCAGCCATGTAGGCCTGGAGGTGGAACTGCAAAGAGAGCTCTTGATCAACCTGAGCAGCCTCCTACTTTGTAACATGACCTTCTCTACAGAGAGTGGTGAATTGTCCAGGAGGAAAAGGAGAAAAATAACATCTACCCAGTTCTAATATTGCAAAGTATTATGTGGCAGAAAATAGCAGGTTAGTCAATCTAGCCTAGCAGAAAATATCCTTCTGCATTCTAGTGTTGTGGCCAATTAAACTCGATCTTCTACCAGTTATTTCACTACAAAATGATCAAAGATTTGATTTTTCAGTTATGATTACTTCATGATTATTTAAAATGTAACACTCCTGGATAGAGCGCTTATGGGGTAGGCAATAAAAATAATTACTTTGTGTACTTTCCCTGTACAGTTTCTCACCTGTGTTTTCCTCTGGCTAAGTCAACCGCAGAGAGAAGGCAGAAATGAACCACTAACAAAATGGCTACGGGTTTTTCCCTCTCCTTTTTGGGGTTGCAATGAATTGAAAAGGCTGCCTTCTCAGACTGATTCTTTTTGAAAACCACTCATATAGCACTGGGCCTGTGTTTATTTTTCCCTCCAATAAAGGCCGCCGGATTTTAATTGTTGATCTACTATATTAAATTGTGTTTGTGCAGCTGTCAGCAGAAATGTACAAAACTCTGTTTGGATATTTGCTCAAAAATATTCAATGCCTCCCCCAAATGATCTTTTATTCGCACAATGAGCCTCTATCTGTTAATAGTCAGACCAAGAAATGTTCTTATTAACATGCATTTATCTATGCTGCTGTGTATTCTAAGGTTGAATTGTGTCCATTGGCAGAATTGGCTCTATGAAATGTAATGCAGTATTTGTTCTGTAGACTATTGAAGGCTTTTCCATCTTCAAAAGGAAGATTATGTTGTACTTAGTCCTACAATTAAGTTTTTATTAAGATGTTTTTTAGAGTTAAATGTCTCCCCTTCCTCCCTCTCTTCCTTAATTATTCCTCTTGAAAATCAGGTCATGAGAAAACAAGAGCATTTTCTAGAATAGGGATAGAACTATTAGATCACAAACCTAAGTTTATCTTTCTTGTCTTCAGGGCTCTGAGTAAGGCCCTTTTCTGTCAGGCACCCTCGGAGAGTGAGACTGACAGCAACTAAATTTAATAGATGGATAGATGGATGGGTGGATGGGATGGGATGGGATGGGATGAGATGGGATGGGATGGGATGGGATAGGATAGGATAGGATAATTGTGCCTCACATCCTCTTTTCCCCTTAAAGATATCTATTGAATACCATTCCTTTCAACAAGCTTCCAAAGAGTAAAACAAAGTTGATGTCATATTCCAATGACCCCTTTTGACATGTCCACCAGGAACCAGAAGAGACTTCTGTACATGTGCAATGCACATGCCAAAGTGCCTTCTGGTATTTCCAGTGAGCTACTGGATGTGACAGATCTGAGATCAGCCTTGACAAAAACAGCACAACAGTTGTACTTTAAGAAGGTAAATAGCATTGACTCTAGTGCTTCATAAACCTAATTGATAAGATTATAATAGACTGAGCCCTATATTTAACAGCTTCCATGGTTTCCTTACAAGTCAAGATTTTTTCCATTTATTCAAGCTTCAAAGAGTGCAGTTCAGTTCTATGTTGTATATTTTAAAGGAGGGATATTATATGACATAGAGAATGGGGGGATTTTTGTTCAGATCACTTCTGGTTGCAAACAGCCCTTGCCTTCTGCTTCTCTCCTCCAAGTTGTCAGACTCCATGAAATTGTAAGCATGGCCAAAAGAGAGGTAGGGCCATAAACATTATTCAGAGAATCACACTATCTGACAAGAAAACACAAGTCTGTGCCCTGCATCATGTGAACACACAACACAGAATATGCTGCTGAGATATTTCTCCTACTCTCCTATGAAGGAAAGGTGAACAGCAGCACTCCTTTAGCAGATGTGTGCTTTATGAAACATTAGCACCATCTGCTGGCACACAAAATAGGTTGTCATGTATAGCGACAATAAAAGGAAAAGAAATTAAGAGATAAGACTTCAATATTTTGTCAGGAAAGAATGAAAGAAAGAAAGAAATTCTCAGTCAGCTTGCTTTAAAGGTGAATCAGTCCTCCTGAACATTTTCGAAATTCTTGATTCTCTCCCAATTTAATCCAACACGTTTGGGGACATTTTTACTTTATATCATATCTAAAACTCAGAAAAATCCCTGGATCTGTGTGTTTTCCCTGAATACAATGAGCAATAAAGCCTCTGCTATGAGCATGATAAAATGCTGGTACTTTCTGTGTTGATGGCTTAAAAGTATGCCCTCCAGGCAGCAATAGCAATAGAACTTATATACAGCTTCACAGTGCTTTACATTTCTCTCTAAGCAGTTTATGGAGTCAGCCTATTGTCCCCATCCATCTGTGTCCTCATTTTACCCACCTTGGAAGGATGGAAGGCTGAGTCAACCTTGAACCTGATGAGAATTGAATTGCTGAATTGCTGCAATCTAACCACTGTGCCACCACGTAAAGAGAAAACACAGGGAAAGGTTAGGTTTGTATTTTACATTCCTTGTTTAAAAACTCTAAACCAATCAGAATGAAGACTCCTCAACAATGTTCCAGCAACGCTTCTGAACAATCTTGACAAACTGTTTTAATGGAGAAAACACATTTTTGTTGCAGCAGGTTACCGGGTGCCTAAATTTTGATCATGTGAGCCGCAGTTGGCACAGTGATTAGAGTGCAGTACTGCAGGCTACTTCTGCTGACTGCCGGCTGCTTGCAATTTGACAGTTCGAATCTCACCAGGCTCAAGGTTGACTCAGCCTTCCATCCTTCCGTGGGCAGAAAAATGAGGATCCAGATTATTGGGGGCAATAGGATGACTCTGTAAACCACTTAGAGGGGGCTGTAAAGCACTGTGAAGTGGTATATAAGTCTAAGTGCTATTGCTTTTGCTATGTGATCATGGGGACACTGCAACTGGAAAGCATGGGGATCACTTGTTAGTCAGGTTTTTAACACTGTTGTTAACAGCTGTTAAATGATCATAAGTCAAGGACCACCTGCACAGACAGAGTTAAAATATTAGGAAAGAAACGGGGAAAGCTAAAAGAAATCTCCCTCTCTGTTTCTTTCAATGGGTCCTGGTGGACATCAGTCCCAACCCTCTGCTTATTACAGTTCTGCCAGCAATATTAAACTAACAGCCAACACAGAAAAATAAATAAGCACAGTGCTGCAAAATCACTCCAAAGCAGGCTTTAAATATGTTTTAGGTCTCCTTGCAGTGTAAATAAAAGGTATCACAGGGGATGAGTATGAAATCTTATGCCTATTTGAAGCCAAGTGCTGACGTGTCCATCCATCCCAAAAGTTTTCAAAGTCTGCAGTCCAATTGTCCCTTATTATGTTGTAAGACTCTCTGAACCAAATGGGATGTATTTTTCATGAAGAACTATATGTGGAATTGTGGCATTAGAGAATCAGTTTCAGTTCTACTCTAGTTTTGATGACAGGAGGTTCATTGAAGTATGAATATGAGAACATTTTAATCTTCTCTTAGCACCAGGAACAGAAATACTATTAAGAGGATTGAGATTTCCAATCTCTGGAGCTGACAAGAACAAGACATATTATAGAGCTGTCAACACCAGACTGCATCCCTTAAGGACCCCAACTGGCCTTTTCCTCAGATACATTTTTGCTGCACTTAAGGATAAACACTTCTAAAATTAATTTTTAAAAGCATGCGTTGTTTTCTGAAGCTTTCCATTTCTTTCGTCCAAAGACATCTTGTGATATTTTGATGATTGAGGCAGAATGCCAGATCTTGTCTCCTTTGTATATTTTCCAACAAGAATGATCTCCGGTTTCTGGCAGAAATCATCTTCCACCTCACCTGAGGGCAACCATGTCTAGGTGAGAAGACAAAAGCAGGTGATATTATCCACACTTCTGTATTCCACAGAAAAACAAAGACAAGGCCACAGGAGAACTATGACTACTTTCCCCAAACATCTACAGAAAATGTCCCTGGAGAAGCTGCCTCACATTATCTCAGAGCAGAGCTGCCTTGTGATGCAATGTTATCTTTATTTTTTCTAATAAGTGTGGAATTGGAGCAATGAACTGAAACATATGACAAAATAAATGAGTACAGTGCCTCATACACAAGTTGGAAACAGGCAACAGGATAATGAAGAATTCATAATGTGTTTATTCCCAGACATGTGTAAAACATGCTATGTGGGAACAGTCCAGCTCTGGAACACCCCATTCATCCCAATCCTATGGGAAACTGGGATCAACTTTGGCATTAGACCCAATGCTTTGGAAATCAAAAGTTTAAATGAAAAGGTTTTCAAATGTTTTCTTGCGGCAAAATAGACCAGTATGGATGATATTATCAAACGGAAAGGGGTAGAATCATCACTATGGGATGTCTTTTTTTTCTTTCCTTTCCTTTGCTGTACTTATATCTCAAAGTGAGTTGGGATTTTTAAAAGATTTGGATAGTTTGAAAGAACCTCTGCCCTTAGTCTAATTCTTTAATCAAGAAAACAGGACAGTCTCCCTGTGACGTAAACCATCAAAAAAGTGATATCAAGTGTTTATTTTCCTTAATCCAAGAACTTTAAATAATGAGTCATTAAAGTTGATTTCTGTATTATGTTAGATGATATAAGCTAAAGAGCCACTCTTTTTTTGGAAAATGAAGTCATAAAACAATGAAAACATAGAACACAGACCTTCATTTTATGAAACTACATACCAATGTTCATACAATGTTCTTTACTTCTGGTGAACTTAGGGAAAAAAATATTCTAAGCCATTTCCAAGCCAAAGAAATAGCTGTTCGTTTATTTTCTTTGGCCCAATTATACAATAAAATCATTTCAAGGCACAAAGTATCCATATCAAGAAGAAACTGAGACTTGCTCTTTAATTTTAGCATTTTAAGCAATTTGCAATTCACAGAGAGTTCATCTGCACATCATTCTTTCAAGGTAGAATCAAAAATTGATTTAATTACCTGAATTTTAAGCACCGAGGCATACAATCATCTCTGCCCAGCCATTCAGGGAATCAGGTAAGCACAGCATCCTACAGAAATATGATGTGAGTGAAATAGATCTCTAATTTTATTGAAAACATTTAAAATACATTTTGTCCAAACTTCCAGAGAGATATTTTGCTTAAGCAGCATCGTTCAGTATTGCTTTCATTAGCAGTTTGGTGTTTGTTTGTTTTTCATATATGCCATTAAAGGTCGTTTGAGTATGCATATTCATGAGAAAGGCAAATCTTATGGATTGAATCATAGTTCTAACTAAATCTGAATCTTTTCCCCATAAAGATTCTAGTCCTTTTGTTTGTTTGCGTGCTTATTAAAATTTCTACATCCCTCCCATTTGTTAGGCTCTAAACAGTGTACAATAATCAGAAAAAGCAATCAAAACATCGAAGTATTAACTATGTAAACTCAAGAAAAACAATAGCAATATTACCCATAAGATCAAACCTTAGAGTTTCTCAAATGCTGTCAGACAGCCATGTTTTATATCTCTGGGAGAACCCAGCAGAGAACTGATAATTTAGACATTCCATAAAAGAGAGGCACCACTAAGAAGGCTCAGTTGCAAAATATACAAAGTATGTCATATCTGCTGGATTCTTCATTTTCAATAAATAAAGGAAGAGAAACTATTGCCTGGAAAAGTCCAATGGTGGCATTCAGATGTACTGTAGCACCTATGAGGTGGAGAGGTCAAAATAATCAAGATAGCAAATGCAATTATGTGACTGATGCCCCACACCTTTTATAACAATAGCAGATTTATATGCTACTTCAGGGGTCTTCAAACTTGGCAAGTTTAAGACATGTGGACTTCAACTCCCAGAATTCTACCTCCAGTCATGTTAGCTCAGGAATTCTGGGAGTTGAAGTCCACAAGTCTTAAACTTGCCAAGTTTGAAGACCCTTGTGCTACTTCATAGTGCTTTATAGCCCTCTCTAAGCAATTTACAGAGCAATTGCCCCCAACAATCTGGCTCTTCATTTTACTGAACTCAGAAGGATGGAAGGCTGAGTCAACCTTGTGCCAGTCAGGATTGAACTCCTGGCAGTGAGCAGAGTCAATCTGCGTTCTAACTACTGCACCCACCACCGTCTATGTATCATGCAGGGACAGGGCTTCCATCTTGCAGATACAGTTGCCATCTTGATTTTTTTTAAGTTTTGTGCTTTTGTGCTCCTTCCTTTTTCCTTTCTCTCCCTCTCCTTCTCTCTTTTTACCATTTCTAGAGCTCTGATTGAGCAAAAACCGAGACCTATGTTTGACACGTATTCTTGTAAGAAACTCATCAAGTCAGTAATTTCCTTATTCCGATGGCTGGAATTCCTGGGCCTGTAATTTATCAGAAGGAGCTACTGCTGCTCTCCTGGCACAGATATGACATCTGTTATTAGAAGGAGACAGATTAATCTTAGAAAATCCCCAATTTCAGAATGCCTGCCCCTATCCAAAGTTTGGCAAGCTTCATCCTCTCCCTAAAATGCAACCTTGTTGTGGAAAGATCCTCTAATTCTACCATGAATGGCAAAATAAGAAGTTGTCATTTGACAATTTTGAAGAATCAAAATGAAGTAAACACTATCTGAACCCCTAGAAGGGGAAAGTTGTTCTGCAGACAAAACTTCTACTTTTAGTCATCTATGATCGGCTGCTTTAATTACCTCTGAAGAAATACTATAAATAGCATATTTCATACAATTTGGTCAAACAGACAACTTACAACTACAGTATATGTTTTGTTTATTACTAACATCCCTCTATCTGTTATGTTCTTTCCCAGTCCCAGTCCTGCTTTTATACTATCAAAAGCTGTTATAATAATTATGATATAATGGGTATGTGTAAATGATTGCTTGATTTATTTTACTGTTTTATTGGGTTGTTCTCAGAGCACTTTCCATGAGATGCAGGAATCATAATCAGAAATTGCAAAACTTTGGCTTTCTGCAGCAAAAGGCTGATTTGGTCCAGTGAAGAACCAGCACTTATTCCAATGAAGATTAGCTGAATTACCAACACAGGCGCTGACTGGAATGTTGCGATCAAATTACATGCCAGATTCAAACTTTAAAACTGAAACGCAGAGCAATGGAAACTTCTTTTAACCAGCTGACTTATGGCACAAACTACAAATTCATGTGATTCCAAGGATGCAATCCAGAGGTAGGATTTTCTTCCCCCAAAATGCACACGCAAATGAAAATTACCTTTGGACTCTAGAAACAAACTGGACTTTTTTTCCCCCAAACGTTCCTTATTTGCTGTATAAATCAACCTGAACAAGTTTATTTCCAGAAACTGCTTACTCGGAAAATATGAACTGGCACCAATACTCATTTCAAACAAGACCTTTAGATTTACTGATCATTCTTATTGTCTACTAACAATTTGGTTGTCGAATGGGTTGGCCCAATATTTGGCTGGCTGTGGAATTGTTGGAAAACCACCAAAGAAAACCACTCGTATTTCCAATTCTTCTCCAGTTCACTAGTAGAAAAGGGGTGATAATTATGCTTTCTCCATAATGTACTATAGATGGAAAGAGATATTCTGAGTTCTAGTTCCTGGTGATAGGTGCTTGACTTCCACTGTTTTTCCACATTCCTTCTTCTTACATAAGAATTTCAGATGATTTAACTAGCAGATATATCTCGGTTCAAGTCCATACAGGTTGCATGTTTTGTTTTGTTTTTAATTTTGGCTTTTAATTGTTTTGAAAGGATCTTAGACCTTCTCACACTAGATAAGAAGTATCTAATCATTAAATTTAAGAGAAACTAGTCTGCTCTCAGTATTACTGTACTGAACCAATGAATGGTCATTGTGATGGCTGCTGTTTAACAAAACAAAGCAAGCCTTATAGATACAAAGAATGTTGTGGCTATAAATTCATTCATTCATTCATTCTATTCCTTCCTTCCTTTCCTTCCTCTTTCTTTCTTTTCTTTCTTTCTTTTTTTCTTTCTTTCTTTGAAAAAAGCTCAACAGATATACTTCATGTTGTACAATTTTTAACTATCTATTTATATAATGATTTAACTGTTACATTATTTACATAATAATGATTATGTAACTTGCAGATGAGCTCCAGTTAAGATGCTGTAGATCAGGGCTGTCAAATTCCCAGCCCACAGGATGAATGCATCATGTGCTGGCCACACCCACCCCCGGTTTAATGAAGGGGGGGGAAGTCCCAATACTTCATGTGATGCCACCATGATGACATGAGTTTGAGACCCCTGCTGTAGATCATCAGCAGGTCTAGATCGATAGTTTTGGATTTTACACCTCTAAAATAACAACCTCATAAATGAATGCTGATCAACCCGTGATCTTTCTGAACAAGCATGAAATTCTGGGTCTATTATAAAGGAGAATGTGTGTCTCAGTGAATCTGTTTCAGTTCACATTCCTAAACACTAACAATCCTCACCTCACCACGGCACTGCTATGCCCTAGCAGTTCTTATAATAGTGTCATCCTTGTGCCCATGACATTGTTGTGATTTCACTGATAACAATCAGTATTAAGAATCACAAATGTGAAATGGACAGCTATATAACCTTAATACATAAATAAATAATAAAGATATGTGCTGGTTATATGAACACTATCCAGAATCAGCACTTAAACATTTTAGGCTTTTTAATCCATTACTCTAGAGCAGCGGTCGCCAACTGGTGGGCCGCGGCCCACTGGTGGGCCATGATAAAATGTTGGTGGGCCGCAGAGAAATCTCACCCCCAGAGCACCCCCACAAAGCAATTAATCCAGGCTGCTCAGCCCACATGGCCCGCGGGAACCCTCCCCACCCACTCACTCCCCACCCACTCACTCCTTACCCGGCAAACTTGTCTGCTAAGTTGCTATTTTTCCTTTTTCTGACCATCATCTGTTCTGCTGTGCCGAGACTTAGATTAGCTAGGAAGCAGGAAATGGTTGGATTTCTTGCTTTCTAGCTAAGCACAGCCAAACCTCCCTTAGGACTGAAGGTTTGTTTGCAAGCAAATTCAGTGCAGACTCACGGCAAGCAAATTTGAGAGACTGAGCTAGCCAATGGCAGCTAGATAGATCACTGAATGATTCTGTGAGCAACTCAATCTGCCTGCCTGATTTTTTAAATAAAAAATTCAATATTTACATGCATGGTGTGTTGTGAGTTAATTTTGTGAGTTTGCTTGCAAGCAAATTTTATGTGACAAGCTGAGCTAGCCAATGGCAGATAGATAGATCTCTGAATGAATCTGTGATTCTGTGAGCAACCTAATCTGCCTGCCTGCTTTGCCTGATTTTGGGTAAAAGTTGCTCTTTTTTATAAAAAATTCAATATTTATATAAATATTTATAATATTTACTTTCAAGCCATGCCCAGCCAGTCACATGACCACCAAGCCACACCCACAAATTAGGCCACACCCACAGAACCAGCTATTGGTCCCTGGGATCTAAAATTATTTTTGTAGTCCCTGAGGTCCAAAAGGTTGGCGACCCCTGCTCTAGAGGATAACTGGTAATTACTGGGAATAGAAACAATGGATACAGTGGCATGGGCAGTTATATGCACTTGATCAGGATATGCTTAAAGTGGTCTGCGAGCTGCCTTGGTTGCCAGTATGCTTTGGGATCTAATTTAAGGTGCTGGTAATAACCTGTAAACCCCATATGGCTTGAGACCAGGCTATCTGAGATACTTCCCAATTACAACTACATATCACATCAGGTCCAGCAGGGGAGACTCATTTTATGAATCCCTTCTCCAAAGGAGTGTCATTTGGTGGGACTCAGGAAAAGAGCCTTTTCTGCTATGGTGCTCACTCTTTGGAACATTATTCCTCCAGATCTTGCATTGACTTGATTCTCTGGGCTTCAGGGAAAACTTGGCTGTGCCATCACAATGGTCTGTAATAGTTGGGAGCTTTTACAATGCTGTGTTGGGTTTGGTGCAGTAATGGATTTTGCACCGATCAGGAGCCAGGAGTGGGATTTGTGGGTTCTCCAAACTGCACAGAATCTTAGCTTGGGGCTCCCCTGAACCTCTGCGAACCCCCAGCAGCCCACCTCTGCATGGAGGCGTGTAACTCTTTGGGAGAAGTGCTTACCCAGAAACCCCATCAGCTCAAGGCAAATTCATAATACTCTGCCAGAGACAGAATGGTGGAGATATGCTCTTGCTTGCCCACGGCCCACTTCAGTCTTTTCTTGAATGAAAGCCGGCTGCATAAGCCAATCTTGGAAAATGCTGTATCTATAGATCTAAAAGAGAGCATTAAGGCTTTGGCGAAGAATGTCGTTAGAAGGATGGCGTCTGGATTGACACAAATATTTGTTTTCATGGGTATTAATCTGCATATAGTTAGAAATAATTAGAGATAAAGGTGTTTTTTAGCCTTGAGAGAAGTTGATGCTTTCTAGCCTTCTTCTAAATCCCAAGTCTTGATATCTGTCCTGCCCTACCTCACTTGGCAAGATAATAATTACTAGTCCTTGCTGTTTTCATGCTCCTGCTAACCATGTGTGTTTTTGGTGCAGAGAAGTATAGTGCCAAGAAATCCTGTAGTTGTTTATCCAGAGGTGGGATTGCTCTGTCGTCTCCTCAGTTAGAACATGTCCTCATGAAAAAAGAGCTGAGAAAAATTGTTTAAATTGCTCTAATTGCTTTTGTGCAAGAGACAATGAGTGACATGTCTTCAACCAGTATCATTTTTTCTAGTGTGATAATTATGCTAGAGCCTGAAGCTAGTAATTTGCCAGATTTTCCAATTGACTCCCAGTAGTTTTATACAAGTCAAGGCAAATTCACTTGATAGCATTTATAATTTCTTAGATTTATGTCAGGCTGTTATGTTATCAGTGAGTCAAAATTTTCAGCTGTTGATTCACCAGCAAAGTAAGTTAGATTGGAGTACCTACAGTTATGTGCATGCTCCCTCAACAGGATTATCTGAAGACCCCAATTGTTGGGGACAATATGCTGACTATGTAAACTGCTTAGAGAGAGCTGTAAAGCAGTATACAAATCTAAGTGCTATTGCTATCTCATCCATTTAGCTTAACTGAGTGTTGAAAGCAGTCATCCATTTTACACCCAAGCAATTTCTTAAAGCATAGTTAGTTTTGGTGATGCCACAACTTATATGAAATATATAGGCAGCCATTCCAGACTTCATGATATAAATATGTTCAAAAACATTTTTCTTAGGTCCTTTCCTCAAACTTACTTTTGCAAGGATAGAGCCAATGGAAGGGAGAGTTGGCAATAATGCCTTCATTTTAAGCATAATTTGAGCACTCCTAATAAAAGAACTTCATGAAGATTGGGATGCATATGGAAACCATACATTTTAGAACTCACTAGGAAGACAGGAAAACTCAAGGAAAGTGCTACTGTGATATGCCAAAACATTATTCTGCATTTTAATCCTTTCCCCATCAATCTAATAGAAAACTAGATTAAGATTAAGGTAAATTTAAGGAAACCACATTCTATCTAGGAAAAATTCATAGAAAATTTCTCTTAGGTGAAATATGGCTTCCTTAAACTTACCTTATTCTTACAGCAAAAGAAGAGTGACTGTTTGATTTTTTTAATTGTATAGTCACTATTCAATTAATTTGCAGCCAAACGGGTTAAATTAAATCTGAAAGGAAAACAAAACATGGAAACCTCTCCTTTAAGATTGCTTTCAAAAAGCAAGGACGTCGGAGAGTGATAGAAGAAAGGTAAAAAGTAAAAGAAAAAGTGTACTATATTGTGATAAAATTTAAATAACTTGCAGAAAGTAATTCTAAAGCATGCTGAGAATGAGACAGCATCTTTGGCAGAAGAAGAAAATGTTGGACAGTTTGTTGTTGCTGTTTAAGAGAGAAAAAATTAATAAAGGCTATGCTACAAAGTGGCACGGAACATCCCATGAAGATCTTTTGGTCTCAGTTTGAAATGGCTGTGAATTTAAATGAATTAATTTCAACCTCATTCACACTGGTGCTCAATGTAGTAATTTGATTTTAGATCTAGGCTGGGATTCTGATTTTAAATTCCTTTGCTTCTTGCTCAATGGAGAAAGCAAGCTATAATTATGCAATTGAAATCAGGTTCCAGAGAAGGAACCAAGTATCACTTAGAACGTACAAGCTTGAGATTTTAATGGAGCAGAATGGCTATATCTTGGTTTGAATTGGATTTCCAGCACTATCACTTTTTCCCATGAGGAAAATGAATCTTTTGCAGCATAATAATGTTGCTATTTCTTAAGGTTGTGTGATAATTGGTTGGGTTTATCAGAAACCTTTCACATTTCCAATCCTCACTGTTCAGCATGAACTTATACACACACACTTATACACACTAACACACACACACACACACACAATCCAATACAAGAGATTACATGAATTTTTTTTTTTTAAATAATGACCTCACATTTTTATAATTTAGAATTATGGAAAGGGGATTTGGCAATAGGGGATTCTGAATCATTGATGATAGATGACTATTGCCTTCTGGTTTATAGGCAGCATAACTTAAGGACTAGCTGCCTCAGAAACACCACTTTAGAACTGGAACTGAAAAAGACAAGTTCATGCTGCCTTCTTGATGGATCAGGGGTGATCTGAAGATGACATCATCCATTTCTGTCTTCAAGTACAATTGCCAATGTCTCTCTCTAACCCAATTAATATTAGGATAAGTGTATTGCAGTGCTACAGTACATCCTGGTAAAAATTCTCTGGAGTCTCAATTGCTTATAAAAATGTTCTTTGGGCTATATTGATTCTTGATTCAGTTTTTTCCATAACACAGAGAATACCTAAAAGATGTTCTGCGGGGGAATTTCCATTTTAGTTTTAAAATGTACACTTTCTCTGGGGAGATATTGTAGGGCTATTGCTGAAAATAGAATGTTATTCCATGCTTTATGAAACAGACTTTAAGTACCTCTTCCTAATGTGTATTATGTTACATTGCTTTAACAATATTTCTGAATACTGCAGTCAATACTGCTACAAACTACATTTTTACCTGTGTGTATTGCCTTAAATTTCAGTTTATACTCTATTAATAAAAGCTATTTTCTGGTGTTTCAGCATCAGTATAGCTGTAATACCAATTTCTGAAGTATTACACCATGGTATTAAGTATTCTTCTGGATTGCAGTACTTAAATGTTGAGCGCTTATTTAAATCAATTTAAATAAGCAGCCTGTAGATTATAATATAATGATGGTATTGTTTTTCCTATTAAACGCACCAAAAGGAAAAAAAATATTGAAATGGTTGTTTTGCCCTCAACCTTTTGTAGTTTTTGCTGTAAGCAAAAGACATTTGTTCTCCTTTTCCACACAGCCTCCCATACTTAGAGTTGGTCTGCTAGATTCCTGATTTTTAGTCCTTTTATTCTTACTTGTCAACTTTTTATTAATTTTTATCAGAATATAAGATACAAAGGAAAATAAAAAAAAAGTAATGGAAAACTAGGAGAAGGGCAAAGGGAAAAAAGAGAAAATGTGGGGCAGGAAAGGAAAAAGAAAAAAAAGGCATTGACTTCCAATTCTCTTTGGCACAGTAGAAGATGATAACATTACGAGCACAACTTTTTATAATAGTATATGCTAGCTATTTCTATAAACCTTTCTAATTAACAAATTAACAAAATCAAAATTTCATATTTGTTTTCTATCACAAGCACACAGTCCAGAAACTCAAACCTATAAACCTGCTCTATATATATGGATAATGCTAGAGTGCTGATTCTTGGTTTAAAGAATTCTGTGTATTTGCAATTTATTTTTTAAAAAACAAAAATAGTTTAGATCTAATTCCTCACTTGCAATAGAGACAGAGTCTTTGTATAGGCTAGTGCTAGGTATTCCTCTCAAGCAATATCTAGCACTAGCCTATACAAAGACTATTTTAATTTCTCCAAAGCTCTGTATGAATGCCAGAATCATGAGTGATGACTTCTGTGATGTAAAAATCTATCTCTTCTTCTTGGTATTGCATTAAACCAGTATCTGTCTATAACTCATTTTTTTCTGAAGTCACTGAACCCTTCTGTTAGTTATTTTAGTTTATCAGGATTCTGTGGCATTAGCGTCATACTTGCTGTATGGTCTTTCTCCCATAGTAGCTGGTAAAATAGCTTTACTATGACACTCTTCTCTTTATCAGTCACAAATATAAAGTCTTGCTTCCACTGCTATCTGTGTTGCAGACTGTTTATGTTGAGGTAGAAGACTAGTAATGTGGGTACTAGTAGTCCTTCCTTGTTGCTTATTATCTTTTTTAAGTATTAGCGTATCTCTCTCTGTCTCTCTGTCTCTGTCTCTGTCTGTCTGTCTGTCTGTCTCTGTCTCTGTCTCTGTCTCTGTCTCTGTCTCTCTCTCTCTCTCTCTCTCTCTCTCTCTCTCACACACACACACACACACACCATATGTTCTGGTTTATAATGAACAGAACAACTTAAGAATAAGTGGCATCATTACTTAAATAATTATTTAGAGCAGTAGAGTAGGGTTACTGCTTTCTCCTTGCTCTTCAACAGACTGTATATATATATATATATTCATTTTTGTTCCTCTTTTCTAATTCTGTTCTTATTTTCTGAACTATGTGCATTGAATATTCTAGTAAAATGGACTATTACTCTACTAAATCCCTGATCACATGGAAAACTGAATCTGGAAAGGACTTTGGGGAACACAATTCATAATAGAGTTGAGACCAAAAATGTATTTCAGAAGTATTTTGGGTACCCAAACAGGCTACCACAAAAAAAAAAAAAAAAAAAACCCCCTTCTCCCCCAACTGCCCACACATACTACAAATGCCTTGAATTTGCTTTGAATTCTCAGTCAACCTTAGTTATTTTGCCTGTTTATGTAGAATCACCTTTACACTGAATGTTTCCATTTTAAAGTTGCTCTCTTACTATTTTGAAATAGACAAAGCTTTCAGACAAAGCTGAAAGTCATAGGTGGAGCACACTGGATGAAATTATCAATGGCCAGTTTTTCTGGGTGGGTGGTTTTGACAGAAGTTGGCACTGTATGATAAATAAGCAAGCCAAATCAAATGTCATTCAGCCAAGTATCAAGTTGTGAAACCCAGCTGAGAGAAGGAGGGTGTACCAGGAAGGAGTGTACATTACCTTGAATGTAAAGGTAGATTCCCAGGCCAACTGATTGCTTCCTTTCACTTTGACATGAACCAAAACTGAGATGATGCAAGACAGACATAATACTAAGAAGAAAAGAGCCGAGCAAAGGAAGGAAAAGAGTTCAAGGTATTGTGCTACTCAGGAACAGATGATGATGAGGAGGAGGAGGAGGAGAGGAGGAGGAGGAGGATGGTAGTGGTGGTGGTAAAGCAAGTGTCAGGATTAAAGGCTGGCTTTTTCAATTGCTTATTAAAGAGTGCATAGTGTTCTTATGCTTCTGTTATGCTGAAGAATGGTATTTATGTTTTCATCATTGTCACAATCTTGTAGGGTCAGTTGTAAAAGTTCCAGGATTATATTATGCTTTACTTGATGGCATTCTTTATAGAAAGATTCGGGGATACATTGAGGTTTGCTTTAGGATCATTTCTACATACAAAGAGTGTGAAGATGAGTGAGATGGGTTTTCCAGTAATCTTCTGTATCTCCAATGATATTTGTATTTGGAAGGGCAGAAAAAGAAGACCACAAAAGGAAGAGTAGTACTTCAGACTTTTCTGCGGTTTCTGACATTTCTAGAATTAAATTAAATTCACGAATGTCTTCAGGATACAATTAAACAGCAAACACCGAGATAGCAACTGTGGCAGTACAATCAAAGCTCCACCTGTTTTTATGTGTTGTTTTAAGCATTCTGTGGCATCTGCCAAGTTGACTTTTTTTGAGCACACTGTGCAGAATGTTTATTTGTGATTCAGATACCAAGAAGGTGTGTGAAAAAAAAACGGTAAACAAATAGAGGAGGGAAGAGAATATACTTTTGTGTCTGACTTCAGAACTTCAGATAAGTTCTGCAGTAAAACATGCTGTTTTACATTTTGATCTATTTTATAAAGTGAAAGGGATAACATGGCTAAAAGCAACATTAAGACATTTCATTAAAAATCTGGCAGAGAGAGAGATAGAGACAGAGACAGACAGAGAGACAGAGACAGAGAGAGATTAAACATTTGGTCAATTTTCTTGCACTAAAAAAAGTGGATAGTTGAATAACAACAGGTATAAGCCAGTTTGATGCTAGGTAGGCTGTTAGGATGAAATCCATTTTCAGCTTACTCGCATTTATTTTTGCTCAATTTGTAGATCGTCTCTTCCCTGACTGCCAGTTTCTCCCACAGCTGGTAATGTGCTTCTATTATTGTGAACCTTGTGAAAGATTACATGCAAATAATCCCCAACACATCTCTGATAGCCATTAATTCTGGACACAGGATTAGAAAATTAGAGAAAAACATGAACGTTTTATTGACCAGAGCAAAGTAATTCTGGCTGTGCAGTATATTAAACTTTCTTTTGTCTGCTTGATACCCACAAGATGGTGCTGTGTCAATGCATACCGCTTTCTGTTGCACCATTGCTGAAAGGTTTCTTGAAATTGTTTTGTTAGGATGGGTACATTATAACTTACTCCTCTAATATTTACTTGCTACAAATTAAATCTCACTGAGTTCAGTAAGACAATATAACTTTCTGAGTTCAGGAAGGCTGGAACTAATGCAAAGCAAAGTGCCCGTGCCCACAAAAATGTTTGGGGTCAGCTGGGAACAGCTGCCAAAATAATTACAGAAGCCGGTAGAGGGGTGATGGAATTGTTTTAATGATCTGAAGAGAAATGCTTCATTTGCACCACTGTAGGAATATGCACCTATTTGTATCCAAAGCATGTTTTGGGAGTTCACCTGCTGTATGAACCAAGAAACAAACTTACGGTGGTGCCCAAACATGCACTGAGCAGCCTTCCCCTCCAAAGTCTTCTTTCTGTTTTGGATCTAACTAGTTGCACATCACCATGTTACTAAAAAATTGGGGTTCAATTTTTTTTTTTACTACTGGTTCTGTGGGCGTGGCTTGGTGGGTGTGGTGTGATTTGGTGGGCGTGGCAGGGAAAGGATACTGTAAAATCTCCATTCCCACCCCACTCCTGGGGGAAGGATACTGCAAAATCTCCATTCCCTCCCCACCCCACTAACCTGATTTCCAGCTCCGTTCTCCTGTGCAGGGCAACTAAAGAAGACCCAGCTGATCAGCTGGGACTCGGGAGGCAGAGAATAGATGGGGATGGGACCAGTCAGAGGTGGTATTTGCCAGTTCTCCAAACTACTCAAAATTTCCACTAATGGTTCTTCAGAACTGGTCAGAACTTGCTGAATACCACCTCTGGAAAAAATACCTATTTCAAAGGATCTTCACAATGCCTTGCATAGCTATCATCTTGAATGGCAGTCAGGGGTTGGCTTTTTCACCCCCAGAATTTGAGAATAATTCATTTGTCAGCATTCTATCTATCTTCCTTTCCAGTACAAACTGTGCAGTTTTTCTTCATATTTTTTAGTGGGCAAATCCTAACCCTGTAAAAATGGGTGCCTTGGAGAAATCCAAAATAGGAAAAATCACATTTTGGCTTAATTTCCTTGAATGCAGCAGGTTGATTTATTGGGTCATTTCAAATATTGAACCGTGCTTTGAATGGGTCTATTTCTATGGTTGGGTCCCTCATTATTCAAAATTTTAAGTTCTGAGGCATTGCTTTAGAAACTTAGGTTGTGCAATTGCTAAAACATATTAGAAATGTCTGCACATTATCACATAAAGCAAGACAGAGTTGCAGGCAACTTTCCAAGTTTTTTTTAAAGTTACACAGTTAATTCACACATTATAGAAGTAGCAGAAACATAATCCAGATCCATATCATGGACTCAGTAAAGCTGAAGGCTTTCAAATGCCCAGAGCTGGTATATTTGGAGAGATTTCCTTGTTGTTTCATTAACACTTTCTCTTTCTCAAATCTGTTAATATTTATTAAGGGAAAGTAATAAAGAAAAACATGCCAAAGTCCAGTCTCAGCTATAGAGGCAACAGCCAACACTTTTCGACAATCATGAGCCAGACATCAGCCCCAACTCAGCCACTCTATGACAAGCCTGAAGAGAAGAGTTTTGCCTTCGGAATTCCTGACATTGTTGTTGTCATCATTTATTTCATCTTTGTCCTAGCTGTGGGAATATGGGTAAGTCCCCTAAATAGCCATTTTGGCAATTAGGGAAGCTCTGTCTGTCTGTCTGTGTCCTTTAGGTGGACAATATACAATGACCCTGCAGAAAGTCACAGTCACTTGTTCCTGATGTTTTTTGTTTGTTTGTTTGTATTTTGTTTTGCCTGATAGCTGCATTAAGGCTGGCCACTTTCCCTTCCTAACACAAACCCTAGCTTGGAAATAAATCATTCTCTTTGCAAAAGGGAGACTTCTTATTTATGTCATTTATCGCACAGATAACTGTTTCGCTTCGCAGGTGAATTTATGCACCTTCCTCCTGATACCACAGATACGAAAGATAGCTGAATATTCTCCACAGCATTCCTCACTTTCACTGGTGTTGTATAATGTTATAGAAGCAATCGCAGTAGTAGCAAGCAGTAGGTTTCAGAAGAGTTGCTGACCAGGAGAAGTTGCCTTACCTCAGATCATCCCGTTAATTCGTTTAGCCTATTGCTGATAATGACTAACAATTGCTTCCCTAGCTTTTGGGCAGGGGTTATCAACGCTTATCTGGAAATGCTGGGCAATTGAACCTGAGGGCTTCTGCATGCAGAGGAGATATTCTGTCATTGAAAGTGTGCCCTTGCCCTTTTCTGAATCCATCACTCCCAACTTTCTACTTTTAGAGAGTATCAGCAGCCATGTCCGTCTCTTTCATACCCAACATCTGATACATCCAAACCTCCTCTCTGTCACTTTGCATTTAATATACAAACCTCAAAGTGATTGAGTCTATCACAATCTATCTACGGTAACTTATAGTAGTGAATTTATTCATTCTTTACATGACAAATGTATTGTGTGCCAGTCTTGAAGACAGTATCACTCTCAAGTTCACTGTGTTCTGGTCTAAAACCTTGAATGCCAGTGTCCACAGTAGGGAACAGGTATTGAAGAATGCCTGCTATGGGTTGAGAACAGTTAAAGTGAAATAAAAGACTCCTAAATAAATCAATAGAGCAAGGTTTAAGAATAAAGGTGGAGCAGATAAAAGAAACATGTGATTCTGTTCCATATATTTCTCTGCACTTCTTCCTTGTAGAGAATTTCATCCAGGAATATTTTCCTATATCTTTCTTTCTACTTGTGCTGTCTATACCCTTTGAAAAGCCTCTTTGGAGAAGGAAAGGTAAGGCTCCAAGCTGCATACGACACCGTCCTGCATCCCATTTTTTTCAGTCTCCAGATCCCTTTTGTCTTTAGTACCAAAGTAAAGTTAACAGAGATTTTAAAAAGTAAAAAATTCGAACTCCAAGGAGGATAAAGAGAAAATCTCAATTGTGACACTTATGGAATGTCACCTTAGATCAAAAGAGCTATGCAGTTGTGGTTGCACATAAAAAAAGCAGTCGGGGCTTTTGTCCCATAGTTTCATAAACCCTCTTGATATTTTTGATTCACTCCTATCCATTGGTGCCTGAAACCTGGCCCACCTATGTTTAAATGTAGCCCCAGTGCCAACCACATTGGTCTAGGCCCATAACCTAGAAACTTTTGGAGGTCTGAAAGGTGAAGGGATGGAATAAATCTCTCATTCTGTTAAATACTTCTTCCTTTTTTAGAAGTAATTTTATTATAAGAAGATTTTACATAGGTTTAAAAAATTCCAGAAACATAAAGGAAAAGTTGGAAAAAGAAGGCAAAAAGAATACAAAGAAGGAGTAAGAAAATAAAAGAAAAAATACAAATATCTAAAGAAATGACTTCCAATCTTCTTTGCAGCAGTTATAAGCATGATTGTCATATTCACCCACCCAAATTACATATTATAGTTCCCAAATTACATATTATAGTAATGGTATGTGGGAATGACCTTGGAAAACCAGGCAAAGAGATGCTATCTAGGGAACAATCAGATAAGAGGAAGCAGAGCCCACAGCTGCATAGTGGGCAGAGCAATAGACTCAGGATGGACCCTCAGACTGAAAAGAATTGTCTTTTCAAACTTGCTAGATCATGTTAATGTGGCTTTAAAATAAAGTGAAATTAGCTTATCTGGCCATGTTTCCTGTCTGATCTACTGGAAAGGCTGTCATCTTCTTTTCTTAATCAAACATTTTTAATAAATACATTCTAAAATCAGCACTTCATTTTTATCCATTTTTGGCAAAAAGTCCACAAAGGAGTTCAAGTGGTTTTTTTATTGAAGTAATTTGTAGTTCCCTCCTTCTTCGGTGAATGTCATACCATTCAATTTTCTTAAAATCCAAGCCAGTGTTTTCCTTATTTCACTATTTCTTTTGTTTTGTTTTGTTTTTAGTCTTCTCTTCAGGCCAGTCGAGGAACAGTTAGAGGCTATTTTTTGGCTGGAAGATCCATGACATGGTGGCCTGTGAGTATAAATATTTTATTATGGTAGTTCTACATATTCTTTAAAATATCAAAACTGGGATTCTAGTTAGATGCCCACCATGTGACAGCTGAGAGAGAGACACACACACAGAAAACCAATGCTATACTCACCTCATGGTCATTTGGATTTTTGCAACTGGATTCTACTCTATTCTATTCTATTCTATTCCCTTCCCTTCCATTCCCTTCCATTCCCATTTATATACCACCTATTTCCCCAGTAAAGTGACTCTTTGACAGCTTTAACTCTAAATGCAAGAGATGGAAATACAATAAAAAGCAGTCTTCCTACATACTTTTAGTTTTTATACATCTAAATAGTAACAAACAGAACTAAACCAAAAACAGAACAATTTTCTGCATCAAACTGAATCAGATTCATAGACTACCTTTTTTTCAAAATCCAAATTCTGCCTTTAGAATAAACTAGATAACCCTGTGACCTCTTGAGTCATTCTTTGATAGAAAGATAGTAGAATCTGATGTAACAAGAAAAAAACATTAAATTTTAGGCTGATCATATTTCCCCTCCAATACCGCATGGTTCCATGATTGTTTAAGAAGAGTATATATCTTAAATAGAAAAGTAATTGTAATAGTAAGCAAAATTTAATAAGTCAATATTTACTAATGTAAAAAGGGAAACAGAATGACCCACAGGTAGGCAAAACAGCAGTGGAGCAGAAGCAACTTTTGACTTCCAACTGACTTCTCCATTGGTTGTGGGAAGTTGGCACATTGAAAGGAATGTGGTGTCTCTGGCAGTCCTGAAAACACTATGCAAACAGTTAAGTGTATTCTCCATTGTGTGCCTGCTTACTCTCTTGTTGTCCTTTCTTTTCCAATGAATGTAAATATAAGTGTGAATTGCCTTCTTGCTAATTATCCTAGAGCTGTGGTCAATATTTCAAAAGATGGGGGAGTGGAGTGGAGGAAAATAAAATACAGTCACAGTAATTACCTACTTAATGACTGCTTCAAGGCCAGCAACAATACACAGAGACAACTCGAGGCTGCTGTCGTAGTGGCTGACTACTCCAACCCTGGAGAGTACTATCTCACTGCTAGCAACCTCCCCTTTAAGACTAGGGACTGGAATGAAACTCTATAGAGACACACACCACCCAAATTAATTCACCCCAATAAATCTTACATCATTTGTCAACCACTTGATCCCCCAGACACGAACTGACCCTCTTTTGGCTCCACCAAACATTTATTGACCCCTTGGATGATTCCATTGACCCTTGGGTATCAATATTGGCTACTTTAGGGATTCTTTTTTTTTTCTTTTTACAACCCTTTATCCCTTTATTTGGGGTAGAGCCATGGAAGCTTAATGGAGCTGAGTGTTTGCTGCCTTGCCTGATGCCTGTGAGGAGTTCGCAGCAGATATTTTCTCTTTGTACCCTGATGGAGAGTCATCTGTCTAGGATTGAACTCTCCACCTTCCAAGTGGGAGGCAAACGTCTTCACCTATAGGCCACTGCACTGCTCAGTGGGGAACCCTATGTTCAAAAAAAGAAGTAAAAAAGAGAGTAGACTTTGATATTAGCAGCTATAGTAAATATGTAAGTAAGGAACATTCAACTCTGCAAATCATAGCTTTAATGCAGTCTGGAATGTCCACTGGTGTTTATGTGGATTGCATAAAGTGCAAGACATTTAAGGCTTCAATCACACAGTTGTTGATACCATCTTGACCTTTTATAATACTTTGTAGATATTTCTGGTGGCCAAATAATTAGTATGGTTAGCACTGGGAGGAGGACAGGAAATCAAATGTATTGCCACTCAGGTAGCCTATTTAAAATGCAGTAAGACCAAGGAAAGCAACAAAAAAAACTTCATCTCAAGCGGCATTATATTGCTGGCAGCCAACTGAGGATTTAAATAGCTAAACTTCATATTTGTACACAAATGAATGTACAATGCCACCTGGGATTTATAAAGTATTATTGGCTCTTAAAATATGATCACCAAGGCTTTGAAAAGAGAATGGGGATAAGAGAAAACTTAGTACAGCCACAAGGGAATAATGGAGATTTTCAAGATTTTTCTTTTAAAATAAAAATAAAAATCCTTCAGGTTCAGAAGAGCTACTATTCTCTTACCTGAAATGATGGCAAAAATAAGATTCCCCCTCCCCACTGTCTAATAACTTCTTCATTTATTGAGCAATTTTGTAAAGATTGAAGCTTTCTGTGCTAAACCACTTGGATTTAAATCTCCAAAATGATTCACTGGAAAGGCATAAACCTTTTGAAGGACACTTTTTTTTTTTTTGGAGCAAAAAGGTAATATAACAATAATTTAAAGGCCCAGAGAAATAAGTGTCAGTGGGATGAATATCTTTTTCACCCTCCCTCAAAAATACAATACTGTAGATCTTTTGAGAGTTTAACTGCAAGCTGAATATGGCCTTGAACTTCAACTTTGGGTTATATGAACTGTAAATTCTATAGACAATGTTTTAACAGACACACATATATAAAGGTTTGGTGTGCTTTGTGCTCCAGTGATGTTTAACCTATTGTTTACCTACAGTAATATTGTAGGAAATTTAAAAGGCTGACAAGAAACCAGTTGTGCCCAACAACTTCCTTGCTAGGTTAAATTTCTTGAAAGAAAAGGCAACTTTCATGAGAATAGAGTCCCAGAAGAGATATGTTGATTTGTTTTTATTAAGCCCCCACATTGATTTTTGACCCCATCCCAACTAATTGAGTTCTGCCCTAAAGAAGACCAAGTGTTGCTTTGTGTTTCTGATTCTTAAAAAGAAAAAACACAACTATTCGTTATGAAAGATTGATGAGATGCTATATGTCTAAGAAGCAAATTTCATCATCTAATCTCACAGCCATATTTCTTTTTGTTAGAACAAAGAACCGGACAAATGACCTTTACAAGATTCATTATAAGCATCAGCATACAATCTGTTTGTCCAAAATATTTGAACTTTCATTTTTAAACAACCTCAATCATACCAAGAAACTTCAAGTAGCTTTCAATGCCTTATGTATGCTTTCATGCCTATGGACACATATATCCCATCCATGCATGTATACATATATATAATAAAAAGTTAGCATTTAGAAGATTATATGTTCCCCTTCCAAAGTGAAACCTCTTATGGTTTCTCTGTGATTTCTCACCCACTCACCCCTTTTCTTTTCTGAGAGTCATATTTCTGCCTCTGAACTTTGGGGCCCTAAGCAAAGGCTAATAGAATTTGACCTGTTTCTCTTTGGGATAGTTAAAATATCAATACTGGATAAGACTAGGAACCTTTCCCTAAAGCCAGCACTGATAACATCTAAGCTGGGATGTAAAAAGCCTGACTGTGCAATGTGCATTTGAATCTTAAGGAAATAGAGAGGCTCCCTTCCCAGAGACACATATACTTATTGTGGCAGGATTAAACAGGAGCTGGCAGACATGATCTCAGAACCATTGGACCATATCTTTCAAAGATCCTGGAGCATTGGACAACTATCAAAGGACTGCAAGAGAGCTGATCTAGTTCCTGTCTTCAAAAAAGAGAGGGTGTGGGGTAAAAGGATCCAGAAAACAACAGACCAATCAGTCTGACATCTGGCAAGATTTTGGAAAAGATAGTTAAGCAACAGATCTGTGAACACCTAGAAACAAGTAAAATTATTACTAGAAGCCAACATGGGTTTGTCAAAAGCAGACCATGCTAGAAAAACCTTATTGCATTCTTTGACAAAATAGCTAAATTAGTAGACCAGCAAAAATGCTATGGACATATATATTTGGACATCAGTAAGGCATTTGACAAAGTAAACCACAACCTACTTCTTGGTGAGACAGAAAAATGTGGGCAAATGGTCTTCCTGCTAATCTACTGATCCCTGTAGAGCAGTGGTGGGATTCAAATATTGTTGCCACTGGTTCAGTGGGTGTGGCTTGGTAGGCGCACTTTGTGCATGTGCACACACTTTGTATGCATGCGTGTGCCAAATGCACATTTGTGCAGGCACAGAGATATTTGCGCAGGCGCAGAAATGTTCTAACTCACCTCCTGCAAGCCTGCATGATCCCGGTTGCTTCAGCAGCTGCCACGCTGCACTATTCTGTGCCGCACAAAGCAACTGCACTTCAAATTCTCCCATGAGCTGTGAAGAGCATCCAGTAGTGGGAGGTGCTTCAGTCTCTGCATGTCTAGGCTGGGCTTAATTTGTGGAACTCTCCTCCTCCTCCACGGGACTCCTCCCCAGCGTTCCCCAGTTTTGCTCAGCCTCGTTGTGGATAGGCAGTGCTTTTTGTTCTTCCTTGGCCAAAACAGGAGTATTACTCAGCAGGTTTGGATATAGTCCAGTTCGTTTTTTCAGGCCTTTAGCCTCCAAATCACTTTATGATCTCCCAACGTTAGCTCTCTTCATCTGGTCGTTGGAGATCATTTGCATTTTCGGGCAGCGCTGTTTCGTGCACGAAGCGGCGGGCGGCTTCGGCATTGTTCCAAGCCCCCCGCTCCATCTGCTTGTTCTACCCCCTGCCATTGTGATTCCACATTGCCTTTCTCTATATTGGCAAAAGCGGCGTGGGCATTTTTGCTCTCATCCGAGTCATATAGTTGAGTTTTCCCCTCAGAACGCCGTCTTGGTGTGGAAAGCAGTAAGAATTCTTTCCACCCCTTCCCCCGCCATTCCTTTTAGCCACAAGGAGAAGCCGTCAGAGGCATTTCCCCACACGGCGGGAGTTTGTTGTTGGGAAGCATGTGCGCACCAAAAATAACGGCCATTGTTTTTGCCTTTACTTTAAAAAAAAAACTGCGTGGCCGCGCTATTTGTAACTCAAGCTGTGTGAGGTAGTTTTCCTTCCCGATCAGAGTTTTTTCCTTCTGATAACCTAAGGAATTATTACCTCGTTTTCTTATTAGATTCGAGGCCATCCGTGTATTATTGTTGGCTTAACCCTCACAGCCTTACCCAGCGGCACAACAGCAAGCACCCAGGC